ATAAATTCAGATACACTGAATCTGATTGAGGAAAAAGTGGGAGATGTCCTTGAACACATGGGCACAGGAGGCAACTTCCTGAACAGGACACCTATAACACAGAAACTAAGATCAGCACTTAATAAATGGGACCTCATGAAACTGAAAAGGACACGATCAACAGGACAAAATGGCAGCCTACAGAATGGGATAAGATCTTCACTGGCCCCACATCGGATATGGGGCTGATTTCCAAAATATATTTAAAAACTCAGGAAAGTAGACGTCCACAAACAAAATTATCCAGTTAAAAGTAAGGGGTACAGATCTAAACAGAGAATTCTCAACAGAAGAATCTCAAATGGCCAAGAAACACTTAAGGAGATGTTCAACATCCTTAGCCATCAGGGAAATGCAAATCAAAGTGACTCTGAGATTCCATCTTGCACCTGTCAGAATGGCCAAGATCAAAACTAGAAGTGACAGCTCATACTGAAGAGGATGTGGAGCAAGGGAAACACTCCTCCATTGGTGGTGGGAGTGTAAACTTGTACAGTCACTTTGGAAATCAATATAGCAGTTTCTTAGAAAACCAGGAATCAATCTACCTCAAGACCTAGCTGGAAGGATTTTTTTTCTACGACCCAAAGGACACTCAATTATACACCCTGCCTTCAATACAACAAGGACACTTGCTAAACTATGTTCATAGAGGCTTCATTTGTAGTATCCAAAAACTGGAAACAACTTAGATGTCCCTCAGCAGAGGAACGGATACAGAAAATGTAGTATATTTACACAAATGGAGTAGTACTCAGCTGTTAAAAATGATGACATTGTGAAATTTGCAGGCAAATGGATGGAACTAGAAAAAAAACATACTGAGTAAGGTAACCCAGACCCCAAAAGGCAAACATGGTATGTACTCACTCATAAGTGGATATTAGTTGTAAAGTAAAGGATAACTATGCTACAATCTACAGATCCAGAGAAACTAGGTAACAAGGAGAGTTCATGGGGGGGGGGTGGAGGGATACCTGGATCTCCCTGGGAAGGGGAAATAGAAGAGATTTTGTGAGTGGACTGGGGCAGATAGGGATGGGAACGTGAGCGATCAGGAGGGAACATAGAGGGGAGAGTGCTGAGGGGAACTGCTGTAGGAAGACATTTGGATAGGGTGAAATCCTGGAGCGGGGGGAATCTCCCAGAAGTCTATAGGGAGGGTCCCAAGTTACACTCCTAGTAATAGTTGATAAGTAGCCTGAACTGTCCATCTTCTGTGACCAGATTGTTGCCTGGCACAATTATCAGAGAGGCATCATCTAGCAACTGATGGAGGCAAATTAAGAAACCCACAACCAAACATTAGGTGGAGCTCAGGAGGAGAAAGAGGAGGAGAAATGAATGTAGGAGCCATAGTGGTCAAGGACACCACAGGAAGGCTCATACAATGACCTACCCTGGTCTCATAGGGGCTTGCAGAGACTGAACTGACAACCAGGGGTCCTACATCGATCAGACTGACCTAGGCACTCTACATATATGTTACAGTTGTGTAGGTTGGTCCTCTTATAGGACTACTAGCAGCAGTAGCAGGGACTGTCTCCAGCTCTTTTACTGACCTTTGGGACCCTACTCCTCATACTGGGTCTCCTTGCCCAGTCTTAGTGCATGGGGAGGTGCTTAGTTTTACTGCAACTTGTTATGTCATGTTTTATTGATACTCACAGGATATGTGCTCTTTCCTTGATGGAGACAGAGGAGGAATGGATTTTGAGGTGGGAACAGGGGGGTTGGAGAGAGGGACTGGGAGGAGAGGAGGGAGGGGAACTGTGGTCGAGATGAAAAAAAGCAAATCTTGTTTAATTAAAAAGTAAATTACATTAAATTGCTATGTTTTATTGTACTCATATTATACATGAAATGATACTCATAAAAATTAATTAATAAAATATAAGAAATTAAATGTCTTTCTGTGGTAGTCTATGTTGCAGATAAGTGACCTGTCTGCTATGAAGCAGAGAGAAAAAAACAGTAAGGACATCATGGTACCACCTCATTCCCAGAGCCCAATACTGTGAAAATAGCAAAGGAAGAAGAGAAGAAACAACAGTGGCCTCCATTGCTCCACCTTGGGTGCTCAGAGCACTATACTAAGCAACCTGTCAACTCCTTACCTGCTATTTCTCCACAGATAAGGAAGCAGGAGGCCCAAGCAGTTAGGGAACTCTTCTGGCGTAACAGGAGGACAAATGACAGAGCAGGGATGAGCCCCATCTGATTCCCAAGCGTGTACCTAGGCTCTTAACCATTCTAATGAGACCAATACTAAACTACTATGCTTAAATTGCTGCCATAACCTTTTATCTGCATCTCTGAGGGTGTGTCAGGAAGCATAGGATGCTGGGCAGGCAAGGACAGGTCAGTGACTTCTTTATTGAGGCAAAGGGGAGAAAGGCTATCCCAATCCCTGCCTCTGCTTTTTGCATAGCAAGAGAACACCTAGTTTCTCAAACACAAATTCCTAGCAAGAAGGCTGCACAAGGAAGAGGAAGGAGAGAAAGGACTAGCATCTAAGGAATGGTGGGGCTTTGGGAAGGCGGGGGGGGGCGCTTCTGTGGGCCAGAGAAATTGAGGGAAATCCTGGGCGCTCTCGAAGGCTCTTCACCTGCGACTCTGAGAAGGGTAACTAGAGCAGTCACCTTGGTGAAGGGGTGGAGCCATGTTCTTATGAGGGCTGGGTCATCCATAGCGTCCCTCACAAGTTACTTGTGCTGCTTAGTTGTGGGGTGTGGTAGATGCTAGGTTGGCATCTTCTAGAAACAGGCATGATGACCTTGTGGTTGAGGCCCAGGATGGATCCACCAAACCAGGGACCAGATAGAGGGGAAGAGAGAGACCAGTAAGGCCTGTAGGAGGTGAGGGGTCCATGGCCTATGTTCTTTGTGAATGAAGCTCACTGCTGGAGAACTCAAAGTGTGAATCATCACTGTTCCTTCCAAATCCCTGGCAGCCAGTGGAGGGAGGTTGAGAAAGATAACTGATGTTACCTAAAGACACCCTTTGGCTTTTGTACAGTATTACAATTGTCAGATGTTCCCTTCCCTGCCCAACAGGCGGGCCTGTGAGAAGACCAAATCAGTCCGTTCCCTCAAGCTCCCTCTGAGTTGCCTGTGACCACATGAATGACACTGCTGTGCCCCTGTGGGGTCTGTGTATCTGAGCACAAGCACTCTGCTCGGCCCATCGCAAGCATGACCTTACTCTTTCTTCACAGCAATTCATGGACAGAAAGATACCCGTCTTAGTCACTGTTCTATGACTGTGAAGAAATGCCATGACCACAGCAACTCTCCTAAGAGAAAGAATTTAACTGGGGACTTGCTGACAGTTTCAGAGGCTAGTCCATTAATAGCATGTTGGGGAGCATGGCGGCAGGTAAGGCAGGCATGTTGTTAGAGAAGTGGTTGAGAGCTATGTCCTGATTCATAAGCAGAGACAGACAGACAGACAGACAGACACAGACACAGAGAGACAGCCTGGCATGGGCTTTTGAAACCTCAAAGCCCACGCCCAGTGGCATACTTTCTACAAAAAGGCTACACCTCCTAATCCTTCTAATTCTACCAAAGAGTTAAGCATTCAAACACATGAGCCTATGGGGACCATTCTTACTCATATCACCACACCATCAAAACCACCTGTGTGACCTTGGAAAAGTCCCTTAACCGGGCTGAAGAGATGGCTCAGGCGGTTCAGAGCACTGGCTGCTCTTCCAGAGGACCTGTGTTTAGATAACCGCCTAGAGTTGTAACTCCAGCTCCGGGGGGATCTGACACCCCCTTCTGGCCTTGCAGATAACTGCACACATGTAACATAGACTTTCAGAGACACACATGCACAAAGTTTTTTTTTAATCTTAAAAAAAAAAGGTGGGGGCTGGAGAAATGGCTCAGAGGTTAAGAGCACCGACTGTTCTTCCAGAGGTCCTGAGTTCAATTCCCAGCAACCACATGGTGGCTCACAACCACCTTGAATGAGATCTGGTACCTTCTGCTGGCACACATGCAGAAGAATGTATACATAATAAATAAATAAAATATTTTAAAAAAGATGAAGCTGCCTAATAATATCTAATACCTTCAAGCTTTAGAGTCTCATCAGATGCAGATAGGAATCCCTGCCTGGCAGAACAGCAGATACACAGAAGACACACAGTCAAAGGCTACAAATTCTGTTACCTGGTTTTCTAAACACGGGGAGGTAAGGACAGGTAGGAGCCTTTCCCCTCAGAACACAGACATACCTGAGAACTGCAAGAAGCTGTGGGAAGTAAAGGTGGGCACACAGGAGTCTCCAGGTCCTGTGCATCTTCAAATCCACTGCAATTTCTTCCTGGTCTACTGTCTTCTTCCCCTTGAGGGTTCTGTGCAACAAACATGTTGGTTCCCTGGCCGTGGCGGCCTTCTGGGGCTTGGATCGTTCCAGACATGTCCACTTCACTGGAGCATGGAATAGGCTGTACAGAGTGGGAGCATCCTCAGGGGACGTCAGGAGTTGTGTGGGAAAGGAATGGTGCCATCAGCTTCCTCCTGGAGAAACTTCAGGTGAATTATTAAGGAGGGAGGGGAAGAGGTTACAGCTTTTCCTAGGGAGCTCTCGTCTCTGGAAACGATTCAGGCAGCTTGGCCATCACTGGTGAAAGAAAGGTTCCCTGATGTGCGGAGGGTCAGCGGGCAGCTGGCACCTCGCCCAGCCCACACCATGCAGTCCTTGGTGAGGGGAAACCTGCGTTTCAGAGCTGCGATCGAGGCTCGGCTGTCTCCAGCTCTGCACTGCGATAAGCTATTTTTAAGTGTGAAACTCAATATGTCACGGGGGGGGGGGGGGATGGTGAAGTGGCTGAGGCTAGCAGGCCTTCCCTACAGGAGACTCACATTCCTGGGAAGGTGAAGCCTTTGCTCGGCTGTTGCAGCTGCTCAACGCCCCCAGATCTCTATTTTGAGCCCTGAAAGCAAACATCCACCTCAGAGCTGAGGGTGGAGACTGATCATTTATCCTTCATCTCTCTCTTTGGCTTGATAAATGCTACGTCTAGAATTTTAAAGAGAATGCATCGCATCATTACGTTTAAAATAACAAAAACAAAAGCAAACAGCAGCAGCCTACTCTCCTGACTGCTGAGACTGAGCCATCTCTCCAGTGACTTCTTCCAGGGCTCTAACAAAGAACATTCACTTAAGCTTTCCATTTCTAGGGGGGCGGGAGCTGCAGAGCTGTGGCCAGTGCAGGCCAATGAATAGGAAAAGAAAATGGATCCAGTGGTCAATACTGGACGTGGCTATAGCACTTTATTTTATATTTTATTTGCCACAAAGGAGAGAGAAAGCTTGAATTGAGAGAGGAAAAAAATCTGTGGATGGAGGAATCTAATCTACAAGTGCATTTGAAGCCAGGCTATCCACAGGTAAGACCCAGAAAACCCCTGACTCCAATGGAATTTCATAATGAAACACTTTCTTGAACCCATGTGTTGGCATTGCTCTAAACCGTTCCATGATTTTATATATAATTATATATATTTAATTTATTATAATTTAACTGTATATGTTTGTATATATATAGAGAGGGATTAGAAGATTTCCTTATTTTTTGCATGCATAAGTGTGCGTGTGTGTGTGCATGCATGCGTGCACAGGCATGCATTCAACTGACAAGTGTATGTACATAGGAGGCCAGAGGTCAACTCTGGATGTCTTCTTCAATCACGCTCTATTTTATTACTTTCTGAGACAGGGTCTCTCATTAAACCTAGAGCTTGCTAAATCAACTGAACTGGCTGGCCAGCAAGTCCCTGGGATCCACTTGTCTCTGCCCTCATTCCCAAGTACTAGAGTTATAGACTAACACTGTGGTGTCCTGATTTTAAGTGAATTTGGGGCACCTGGGCTTAGGTCCTCATGTTTACACAGTAGGTGCTTTACCTTCCAGCCTCAGAAGCAAAGATTTCTTTTGGTAAATATGTTGGGGCCTTCATGAAGGCAAAAGGAAGCCGAGACACCTCCACGCTGGGTTCTCTGCCTGTCGCAGGCAAACTTCTGTTCCTCCACACTTTGCCCACTCCACCCACATTCAGGTAAGACCTAGAAGGACACTGGGTGCATTGGTGTAGGCAGCTGACCTGTTAGAGCCTGGCCATGGGTCTGATCTGATACCAGTGTGGGTGATGGCCAGAGTTGAGGGTTTGGCAAATACGGTTGAGGTCTGTAGAGAGCAGCTTGCTAGAGGGTCACCTAACAGGCTAGAGGTATCCTTCCCAGCCTCACAGGATGCTCCTGTGGTTTAACTCTTAAATATCCCCTACAGGCTCATGTCTGGGTCACTTATTCCTAGTTGGTGACATTATTTGGGTTCTAGCTGCCAGAGTCATGGCAGTTATAGGCCTTTGGAGGTGATAACCAGACCCCTGGCCCTGGCCCTTCTTCCTGCTTCCTGCTTCCTGCTTCCTGCTTCCTGATGCATGTAAGGAGCCTTCATCAGGTAAGGTGCCTTCATCAGGTAAGATCAGTCATCAGGTAAGACTTTCACCTTCCCACCATGCCTCGCCTGTCATGATGGTCTGAATGCCCCCTGAAACCATGAGCCAACATAAACCTTCCCGCCATGCAATTGTTCCTGTCAGGCATGGTAGACCCCACAATGCCGCACAACCTTTCTTCCTCCCCCTCTTTAAAATGTGCATTGATTTATTAATTTTTGTGGAGGGAGTCGTATACAATACACTTAAGTTCAGATCTCTCCTTCTACCAGGTGCGTTCTGGAGACTAAATTCAAGGTTTGGTGGCAAGCACCTTTACCCACTGAGCCAGCCATCTTGCCAGCCCACTTTCCTCCCCTTCTTCCCTTTGCCTTCCAAGGCCCTCTCCTTGCTTGGGTCATAGGATCCTACTGTGCTCCATGCTCCAGAGCTTTTGCCACAGCAGCAACCGCAATGCGGGTACAAGTGGGGATAATGGGGGACTTACGATGAGGGTGGAAACTGCCCTGATTCCCAGCCTGTGGGCAGAGGAGAGAAAGGAACCCAGATGATCCTTCGTGCTTCCAGATCTCAGTCCTTTAAGAATGTTTCTAAAGGGGTGTCTCAGGCCTTGTCCTGCTTATTCCTGTAAAACGACATGCTGAATCTACATACATACATACATACATATAAAAAATAAAGTCAATCAAAAGAATTACAACTTCATACTCAATGGAAAAAAACAATGGAATCTTGAAATTTGCAGGCAAATTGATGGAGCTAGAAGAAACCATCCTAAGTGGGGTAACCCTGTCACAGAAAGACAAACATGGTATGTACTCACTCATATATGGATATTAGACATAGAGAAAAGGATTACCAGTCTACAATCCACACCACCAGAGAAGCTAGGAAACAAAGAGGACCCTAAGAGAGACATACATGGTCCCCCAGTGAATCGGAAAGGGACAAGAGCCCCTGAATAATGGGAGCATGGGAGGGAGGGAAGGGAGGTAGATGAAAAAGGAGGGGAGAAGAGGAGGGGAAAACATGAGGAACAGGAAGATTGAGTGGAGAGAGGAATAGAGGAGAGCAAGAAAAGAGACAATCAATAGTGGGAGCCACTCTAGGTTTAAAGAGAAATCTGGCACTAGGAAATTGTACAGAGATCCACAAGGGTGACCCCAACTAGGAACCTAAGAAATAGTGGAGATGCTACCTTAAATGCCATCCTAGAGCCTTCACCCAGCAGCTGATGGAAGCAGAAGCAGAGATTCACAGCTAAGCACTGAGCCAAACTCCTGGAATCCAGTTTCAGAGAGGGGGGAGTGATGAACAAAGGGGTCAAGACCAAACTGGGAAAACCCACAGAAACAGCTGACCTGAGAAAGTGGGAACTCATGGACTCCAGTGTTACACCTGGGGAACCAACATAGGATCAAACCAGGTCCTCTGAATGTGGGTGTCAGTTAGGAGCACTGGGCAGTCTATGGGGCCTCTAGTAGTGGAACCAGGATGTATCCCTAGTGCACAAACTGACTTTGGGAGTCCATTTCCCATGGAGTGACTCTCTTATCTTAGATACACTGGGGAGGGCCTAGGCCCTGCCCCAAATGACTTGACAGATTTTGATGATCCCTCATGGAAGGCCTCACCCTCCCTGGGGAGTGGATGGGGAAAGGAATGGGGTAGCTGGTGGGGGGCATGGGAGGATGGGAGAGAGAGGGAACTGGGATTGATATGTAAATAAGATAAAATAATAGAATAACATTATTTCAAAAAAAAGAATTACAACTTCAGCCAAAGCAACAACTCCAATGAACATTTTTACATGCTACACTGGGTGACCAGAACCCACTCCACTCCCCATTTCTTCCAGAGCTCCTGGCCATTTGTCTCCAAAAGGCTCCATTGCCTACGTGGGTGGACTGAAGCAGACCTGTGTCTCTCATGGGTGAGTGTGTGAGCACGTGAGTGTGTTTATGGAGGCAGAGGTTAATGTTGGGTGTCCTCTATTGCTCTCCACCACACACCACAGTACAGGCTTTAGAAAGAAGAAGAACCTCATTAAGAAACCCTTGTAGAAAAGGTGGTGGGCTAACCAACCCTATAACTACCCAGGCCCAGAACCAGGGTTTTGAGTTGGCCCACCCCAGCATCCACCCATGTGAGATCTGATGGTGCATGTGGAGTTACTGGTTCTGCAGACCCAAAGCTGCAGGATCTCCACGACACAGGGCAACATCAGGACATCAGGAAGGAGTCCAGTGAGGACCCAGCATCCACAGTGCAGTAGAAACCAGAGGCCTCGGAACCAGACCAGTAACTCTTGACCAGACCAATGAAACTTGCATGTAAAGATGTACTGGTGATTCACTCTGTCATACGTCAGCTTCCATGATGAGTTTTTTTTTTTTGCCTTCTCTTTTTTTTTTCTTTTTTCTCTTAAATTTTATTGAATGGGATGGAGATGCCCTTCATAGCTGAGTGTGCTGCCTCACTCCTGTGATTCCAGTACTCTGGAATCTGAGGCAAGAGGGTCATTGTGAGTTTACAACCAGTTTTAGCTACAGAGTGGGTCCCTGTCACAAAACAAGCAAAAGAGTGCCGCTGAGAAACAGGACAATCACATAGAGAAATTAGTTGTCCGACAAACAATATCACACCATCCCCTAATAATTGTTCCAATGGAGTTTGTGTTAATGACACTGTAACAAAATACCTGAAATCGTCAAGTTATAAGGTAGAAAGGTTTCTTTGGGCTCACAGCTCCAGAGGTTTATGGTTTCTGTTCACAGCCTTTGAGCCTGTGCTAACTAACACAGATATTATGGCAGAATGGAGACCTGGAAGAGGAGGTGCCCCTGGAGATGGTCAGGAAGCAGGGTGGGGTGTGCAGGAAACCACCCAAGACCTAACTTCTTCCACTGGACTCCACCTCCTATAGATACCTCCTGTACACCTCCAAAGAGCACCACAGCCTTTAAGCCGAGAGCCTTGGGGGAACATTCACCACCCAGCTACGACTGGGCATAGTGACACACTCTTATGATCACAACACTTGGGAATCTGAGGCAGGAGGATTATAATGTCAAGGTCAACATGGGCTACATAACAGACCATGTCTCAAAAAACAAAGGAAGATGATCCATATTATTAAAATGCTTAGATGAGCACTCCTGGAATCATCTCTTTAAATGGTTAAATTAAAAAAGCCCATTAAGTTTCTTGGTATGTAGGGTAATGGCATCTCTAGATTTTGGAGGCCAGGGACTCGCTTTATATGTGTTCCTTCGTGGGTAGACTTCCCATTTTATCAAATAAAAAAATTCACAAGTATGAAAATATCAGAACAATCATATTGTAGTTGTTTAAATGAACTATGGAAATGGTGCCATCCAGGAAGACTCTCTGACCTGGAACATTTGTAAGTAGTGGGATTGGGGTTGACAAAGTGTAGCTGGTGAGCGTTATTGGGAAAAATTAGAAGGTTCCGTGGGTCCCCCAGAATGAGCTGAGACTCTTTCGTAAATTGCTTCCTTTCGAAAGGAGCTTCAAGTAGTGCCCCAGGGGACACTAGCTGCTGCTGTGGTACTGGGTCTAGGAGGGCTCTGCCCAGTGCTCCAGCTTCAAGAAACAAAACCCTGCCTAACTTTGCTCCTGAAAAGGAGGTGGGATTGCGTGAAGGAACAGAACACCTTCCAGGCAGATAACAGCCATTCAGTGCTCTTCCTGGTCCATGCATCCTCTAGGGCGATATCAGGACAGACAAGCTGGACCTTGTGTTTCCTGTTGGCGGGGGTTCTTCATTCCACAGGGAATGTTGTCCTCCCCTTCAGGCATCCAAGAGATGGAGGGGGCCATGGTGTTGGTGGCCTCACAAATACCCTACCTGCCTAAGCCCTAGTTTATTTTAAGAAATTACATTATGTGTTTTGCCTACATGCATGCTTATGCAACCGGTGTGTATCTGGTGCCCACAGGGGGCAGAAGAGGGTGTTGGATTCCCTGAAATTAGAGTTACAGACAGTTGTGAGCTGTCCTGTGGGTGCTGGGAATTAGTTACAGACAGCTGTGAACTGCCGTGTGGCATGCTGGGAACTGGACCTGGGTTGCTGGAGGAGCAGGCAGTATCCCTAACCACTGAGCAATATCTCCAGCCCCAGCCTTAGTTTTTTAAATTGCTCTTCTTACTTGTGAAATGGTGATAATGATGACAGCAAGCTCATAGAAGCAGGAAACAAAGGTTGGGCACGGCCCATGCCAGTTAAGCTTAGCTTCCAACCAAAGACCACAGCTGATTCTATGGGCAGCATATGTGTCACACCTCACTAAATGAGACCTATACAATGTCATTTGTTTTGCTAAGATATAGTGTCATTGTTGTATCTCATGAAGGAGAGTGTGGCACTTGGTAAACCTGGCATATTTAGCTCCATATGAGTTCATCATCTTGTGGGAAGTCGGAGCACACTGGACCTGAGATAGATTTCCCTTCACTCTAGGGGGGGAATGCTGTCAGGAGAGTACCCATGCACACACTGGCTGAGACTGCCCTGTAGAGGTCTTTTGAATCAGGCACTGCTGGCTGTGGGGAAGTGGCTATGATTCTGCTGTCCTCTCCTGCTGTGGACATGAAGCCCTCCCAGCCTCAGTCTCCAGGGAAACACTGGGAGGTCCCCAGCTTGGCTCCCCAGAACACAAAACATAGTGGGCAACCCCAGGGTAGCTGCCCAGCAGTGAGCCATTAGTCAGTGCTGCATGGGGAGGGAAGGGGACAGCAAGGGGATGTATTGTCCAAAATTCAACAGTGACACTATGTGGCCCTGGGAGCAAGACCAGACCAAGAAGAAGCTATTAGCTGTGAATGAGGGTTGTCCGATGGCCTCTTTAATGGCCAGGGTCACGCTGCTGAGTTAGGTAAGCATCGTGAGTAGGGAGAGGCATTATAGTTATCACTGCGGGGAAAATGCAGCGAAGAAAGAATCTTTCCAAGTTAAACTGACTGGAGACTCAGAGTGAAGGAATTTGAGAATTTAAGAGAATATAATCTCAGCATAAACTTCAAGCATGGTGGTACTTGGTGGGGGGGCTGGGTTCACCCCAGATTGTACAGAGCATTGAGGTCACATTGAGAAGATGTCCTGTTGCAGAACAGCCTCTTTTCTCTGATCACCCTTGCTCCAGAAGAGACCACTTTTTCGTCTTCTTAATGTTGATGTCAGTCAGTGGCCCCACCGACTTCATAGATTAGTCAAAACTAATCCTGGCTAATTGCAGGTATCAAGAGACAAACTAGAGGAGCTTAAGCAAAAGCAGCAACTTCTAGTTTCACCTAGTTGGGAAAGCCTCGCAATGACTCACAGAATAGAATGGAATGGAGGCTTAGAATGCTAAGGAAGGTCAGAACTTGGGGTAAGAAGCAGGACTCTGTCCGGCCATCCCAGCATCAAAGGGACATTTATTAACAGACTCTGACTCTGACCATCTTACTTGAGCAAGGTGGCTGCCCTGAGCCAATCCCAGTGCCAGGAAGATGACATACTAAGATAGGATAGTCCTGGTCACACCCTCACCACCCAAGGCCACTGGGCAGGAATTGTCAACACGGAGTGATGGTAACACATGGTAGACACAAATGCTACATTTCAGCCCACTATGCACAAGTTGATTCCCTCAGATCCTTGCAATGTCCCCTTTTCCCCCTGGTCTTGAGGAATAGCCCTCAAACACGGCTAGTTAAACACTCCTTTCAGCAAACCCTTTTTCTTTCCTGTTAATATAAGTTTGTACACATGAGTGCAGGTGCTCAAAGAGGCCGAAAGAGGACATTAGACTCCCTAGAACTAGTTAAAGGTGGTTGTAAGATACCCTATATGGGTGCTAGGAACCAAACTCAGATTTTCCATGTTAGAGATGGGTCTGGGGTCCCAAGAACATGACCATACAATCCAAGGTATTTCAAGAAGTATTACCCCTACAGACCAAGCAAGCATGTTTAGCTGGAATCCCACTGGGCTCTTATTCTTAATACAAAGGGGTCCTGTGCCTCACTCTAAGTGGTCAGAGCTGGCTTTCCAGTTTTATGCAGTCTGACACATAGAAAAGTGTGAGAATTCTAGGTGTGCCCCTGCTCTTTGTTTGCCTTGGTTGGGTGCTGCTTTCCCAAAATTCAAATGTTGGTCCTTAATCCTCCAAGTCATAGGTAGATGTTATGTAAAGGGATGGGGATTTAGGAGGTGATTGGGTAATGAGCTCTGACCTCAGGAGTAGACTAACCCACCCATAGATGAGTGAGTTTGTTAATGACTTAGCCCCAGAGTGGGTCTGTTATAAAAACTAGTTTGGCTGGTTTGGGCCCTCCTCACCATGTGATGTTCTGTGCTGTACCATCTTGTTAGGACAGAGGCCTCACTAGCCAAGAAGGTCTTACCAAATGCAATCCCTTAACCTGGCTTTCCCAGTTTCCAGAAGGGTAAGAAACAAACACCTCCTTTTTAAATTACTTGATTGTGGATAAAAGTTAGAGCAACAGGAAGTAGACTAAGTTGAACATACTTGTATAACCAGTACACCATTCAAAACATGGAATACTGACCAAAACCCAGAAACATCCTGGGCTTCCATCTATACTGGCTCCCCTGGTCCCTCAAGGCACAACATCTTGAGTTTCCATAACATAGTGAGTTTGATCCCTTTTGGGGACTTTATGTAAATGCAGTCAATCATTATTATTCTTGTAAGCCTGACTGCTTACAATCAGCTTTGTATTTATGCAATCCATCCACATGCTGTGTGTGAGACAAAGTGTTTGTTTCCATAGCAACTGAGTATCTCATTGCACAAGTACTACTAACACGTGCTTATCTAGGTTACAGTTGACGGGCATCCCAGCTGGGAAGATCAAAACCCCAAGCACCACTTGAATGATGTGGGGCTTCACCTAGGTATTTT